CGTAAATTAAAAAAAACGGGCACGGTGAAGACCTGAAAGGGCATAGTGAGTAAAAATGTACAAAAAGGGTGGACATGGCCGAAAGGCCATGGGTAAAAGAGCCCTAAAAATAAAAAAAAGTTGGTGAAAACCGTCTTTATGGCGCTGCTTTGTCGGTCTAAGTGAAAACCCACAAAGGGCGCTCAGAGCAATAAAATCAGCTTGATGCAACATTTGCTTCTACAGACGGCCTCAGCCAGCACTCCCTTCTTCATCAAGACGTCCAGCAGGGTGTAGACATTGAAATCATCCCTCATCTTCTTTCTTCAGTCCTGGGTGAATATGTAGCCCATTTGACATCCTTCTTTGGTCTTGGGAGAACAGGTAGCCCAATCGACATCCTTCTTCAGTTCTAGGTGAACAAGTAGCCCAGTCGACTTCCTTCTTCAGTTCTGGGTGAACACGTAGCCCAATCGACATCCTTCCTCAGTCCTGGGTGAACAGGTAGGCCAATCGACATCCTTCTTCAGTCCTGGGTAAACAGGTAGCCCAGTCGACATCCTTTTTCAGTCCTGGGTGAATAGGTAGCCTAGTCGACATCCTTCTTCAAGGCTGGGTGACAACGTAGCCTAGTCATTATCACTTCTTCAAGGCTAGGTGACAATGTACCCTAGTCATTATCCGTTCTTCAAGGCTGGGTGACAGCATAGCCCAGTCATTATCCGTTCTTCAAGGCTGGGTGACAACGTAATCCGGTCATTATCCTTGTTCAAGGACCCTCTCCCCATGCATGAAATGTGCATACATTATCCTTCTTCAAGGATTCTCTCCCCATGCATGAAATGTGCATGCCTTACCCTTCTTCAAGGACCCTCTCCCCATGTGTGAAATGTGCATGCCTTCTTATATTATGGACACCTCTCCATAAGGCTAGGTGACAAAGTAGTCTAATCAAGGCAGGAAACTGACAAAGTCAAGGCAAAACCTGTTAGAGACGTCAGCTCGCCTAACCAGCATGACTAGACCTTTAGGATCAGGTAATAGAACCTGCCCCTGCCTAAACTCGGTAGAGAGACCCATAGTGGTACTCTGATCATCAAAAGTAAACCTGTGTCTAGTAAACTGCACCACTAATTTGTCTCGTCTCCCATTAATTAAAGTCTCCACGGATGGACTTGCGAAAATGCATTCCTACATCTGAGCATCCTGGTTACACCGTTACGTGAATCTCCTCCGCGTGCACGTGATCCTGTGGCTAAAAAAGCAAAAAGTAAAACTTGAAGGAAACTTTTCAAATGACTGTCGTTCTCACTTCTCTTGAAGCACAACATTCAATGGGGCAAACTGTTTGAATGTATTTTTTAGCATCTTGGTCCCCGGAAGGAAGTAGGTCAATAAAGCCTATAAAATAGTGGAAATTCTCGACAGTCTCATAATAGCCCCAGAATTAGTCAAGATCTTTGTTAACACTTGAAAAGACTACTTGCCAAGTTTCCTTGCAATCAGACATCTCTAACACAGTAAACCCAACGAAAAAATTTCAACGAAATCAATCTCTTACACCCTGAAATGGACCCCGTAAGTAGAACTACATTTTCGGTGTCTCAAATCATTATGGAACCACCTCCACTAGATTCGGCACGGGTTGAAAACCCCTATGAGTTAAGTTTGGATTTAATCAGGCACTTCAAGACAAAGTTATGAGTAAAATACCGAAAAGGGGTAAGTCGCACACTATTCCCATGTGGCCTCAATCCAACATAACACCATTAAAGGTGGTGGTTTTTACAGTCATGAGAAGTCACTTTCTGGGCCTATAACTCACTTGTTCAAAGTCAGATTGCTCCCAAATTTGATAAGCATGTTCGTCTCATCGAGACGAGCAATTTGATATGTGGTTCGCCCCGTGACAACGCCCGAGCAAAGAGAAAAACTAAATGAAAGTTACTGATCTGTGAAGGAAGCTGCAGAAAATTCAGTAGCATCATGCCTTGTTCAAGCATCTAGATCATGACTCTAACATACCCGATCGACACGAAACCAATTGCATTATGTGCATGAGGACCGAGGCTATCTTTGGCACGAACATCACATACGATGAATGGTAGGATTTCACACACGAAGGAGCCAAAGCTGTTGTAAATTCCAGCCACCAGATTTCAAGATTCTAGCCAAAGACTCAAGATGAAGAAATCTTCATCCGGACACAAAATCAAGCTGCATTCGTTGCAACATGATCATGATGGCATGCTCAGTGTGATTAGAAATCATGAAGAAACATCAAGGAACGAGCACATAATCGATCCGAAGTTTTCAAGATTCATCCAAGATTCAAGTCTCATGATCATGGCTTGAAGTTGGTATTAAAAAAATCGCCACACTGAGCCCTACAAGAAAAAAATAATCTTTTGATCAGACGGGCATTAGAACACCTCTGGGTTAGCCATGGAAGATCACGCAAGATATCAGGCAGCAACAGGGATTGTTTTGAAATTCCACACATTCTTAGTCAAGGGCAAAGTAGTCATTTTGTACCCATTTTTAGAATTTATTTAAATTCAATTAAACCATACTTTCCTTCAATTTTGTCTACTTTTGGGCGTCCACCAATGTTTGGGCCCAATTCTATATAAACAGGCACTGCCTCATTGTAAAGGACTTTCGATCCATTCCTTCATAATTCAATAGAAACTTCCATTCTTGCTTGAGCCTATGAGTACATCTTGGAGAGAGAGAGAGAGGAGAGAGAAGAAGAAGGGCTGGTACCCTTCCATCAGGTAACTTTCTCTCTCTTATCCTCATTCTCTCTCCTCCCCTCTTTCTCTCTCCTCCCCTCCCCTCTTTCTCTATCCTCCCCTCTTTTTCTCTCCTTCCCTCTATCTCTGTCCTTCCCTTTTTCTCATCTCTCTCTCTCCTCATTGCAATTGGTGCAAGTCTAGTGCCGGTTAGTTCTCCTCTCTTTCAACCCCAGCACTAGGTGGATTTTTCCCTCTCTTCTTCTTCTTTCATCCCCAGTGTTGGGTGGGATTTTCCCTCTCTTCTTCTTCTTTCATCCCCAGTGCCGGGTGGGGATTTCCCTCTCTTCTTCTTTTATCCCTAGCGTCGGGTGGGGTTTTCCCACTTCTCTTCTTCTTTCATCCCCAATATCGTGAGGGATTATCCCCAATATCGTGAGGGATTATCCCTCTCTTCTTCTTCTTTCATCCCCAGTGCCCGGTGGGATTTTCCCTCTCTTCTTCTTCTTTCGTCCCCAATGCTGGGTGAGGTTTACCCTCTCTTCTTCTTCTTCTTTCATCCTCAATGCCGGGTGGGGTTTTTCCCTCTGTTCCTCTTCTTTCAACCCCAGTGCTGGGTTTTCTCTCTCCTCTCTTCCCTAACAATCGATGAGCCCCAGCGCTGATTGGATTTCTCCCTCCTGTCTTCCCTAACAGTCGGTGAGTACCAGCGTCGATTGAATTTCTCTTTCCTCTCTTTTGTAACAGTCGGTGAACCTTAGTGTCAGTTGAATTTCTCTCTCCTCTCTTGTTACAGTCAGTGAAGCCTAGCGTCGCTCAATCTCTCTCCCTTGATTCTCTCCCTTTGCAACTAGTGCAAGCCTAGAACCAATTGGTTCTCTCCCTCTCTTCTATTCTAACAGTTAGCGAACTTTAGCACTGACCGTCTTTTCTCTTCTAAAACAATTGGCGATGTCCAGTGGCGAGTGCATCTTCCTTCCTTCCCTCTTTTATCCTCTTATCTTTTCTCTCCCCCGTCTCTCTGTTCCCTTCTTCCTTTACTTCATTCTTTCCCCCATGAGAACCACTCTGTTATCCTTTCATTCAATTAAGAATGATTGAGGTTAGCCTCTCTTGAAAGTCCTGTCGTCTAGCCATAATGTTGTTGTGTCAGGATTGCTTGGCCCGTTTTATTACCACGATAGACTGATCATCGTGCTTAGCTAGTCGATATTGATAATGACATCTAGTAGTTATCCCGTGAGCCTGTCTTAGTACCGAGCCCGTTTTACTATCACGTCAGGCCAAATACTCATCAGCTTGATCCTCTCGCTCAGTCGCACTCTTCTCTCTCCCGTCTTTCATCCCTTCTTCTTTTTGAATGCGCCAGCTTGTGTACGTTCACCAAAGAGGAAAAGGGTGAGGTTTGACCCACCCATCTTACAACCTTTCCCATATATTTGTGTAATTGCAGAAAATAAGAAGAATACGAGCCAAGGGAGGCCATTCGAAACCAGCTTCATCACTGGGGAGCTTTCTTCATGATCTAAGACGGCGCCCATGCCAGCCAGCCTTAGTAAGTCTCGAACCCACCTTTAAAATTCTTCTCTCATCGGTTGGTAGCACCTGTCCCCGTTCTCGAATGAGGTTCCCGAGAGAGCGATCTCAGAAATGTCCCGGGTCTTCCCTCGAAACCCAAGACGCATGCCTCCCGATCATCCAGATCCGGAGGGCAAGATCGAGGCACCTAACCACTAACATGGAGGGTGGATTGAGGGCCTCGACATACAGTGTGATCTCGAGCAGTATATTTCGTATGCAATTTGAACTTGCTTCTTTTTTCAATCATGGGAGGGGCATGAAAGGTTATCAACTCAGTCCATTGGGCGATGAACTTGTCAACCGGCTCACTAAGGTCTTGAGTCAGAGTGAGGAGCTCGATGGTCTCCACGTTTCTCTGGACTTCATAGAAGCGTTGGTAAACAACTGCTCCATTTCGTGCCACGTGTGCACCGAGTTTGGAGCACCCAAGCATACCGGTATAAGGCTGGACCTTCGAGATTCTTGACGAACTGACAAAGGAGGAGTCACCCATCAGTTGCTGTCTCTCGACAAGCTGCTTGAAAGTGAGCAGTATGCTGGTGAGGGATGTAGTATTGTTAAACAGGGGGACCTTCCCTTTATGGTAGTTTGGGGAAAACGGCACCTGATCGATATATGAAGTGTATGGCTTCTAGTAGAGCGGTGCGTCTTGCATACCCAGGTCCTTGTTCTTGAGAATGTGGGCCACCATGGCATATATCTCAGTTTGGGAAACCCCGCAGGAAGCAGAGCTGTCTTGGGAGGCCGGTGGGGGAGTTTGTCAGGGAACTGTGTCCTTACCAGATAGGGAATCAGTCTCATGGTGAGAAGAAGAGGACCTGAAAGCTTCTAAGCGCTCCACATTTTGAGGATGAACTACATCATTACCTCGAACCAGTTCATCCGCTCTTCTTGGGCATCGTCCGGCTCGTTGATCACCATGACACTAACCGTTTCTTCTAGAAGGTCAGAGCCAAGTGTAGTAGTGGACTACCGAGGTTGGCGAGTCATGAGAGGCAATTCAGTTTGCAAGGGCTCAACATGCTCTGATTGGACTCTAGCTTTGTATGTCGATCGCGTGAGGACCGGTTCTTAACGGTTTTGGGACTGTGGCTTCTGGGCAGTGATCACCGAGCAATATTCTTGGACTTACTCCAGCTCTGAAGTTTGAAGAGGGAAAAAGGGATTACGAGGCAGGAGGTAACCGAGAATGGTTACCTCAACTGCCTTAAAGACTTCTTTAGTCAGGATCTGCAGGCCTCTCGTCTGCTTAATCTTGATGCTGTTGTGTACTTCAAACCAGAACCGGACCGGAGATTTAGACTGCCTCGCTTTTCTTGAGCATGCGAGGGTTGTGTTTATTAATTGGAGCAGAGAGTGTGGCTCAAGGCCAGAAGGCAACCTTGGTTTCTGCCTTGCAGACGCCTCTGTCTAATATCAGGCCGTTAACTCGAACACCCTTGTGGTGCCCAGGTGCATGCCTGAGTTGAGGTGGCTAACTCAAGATGGTACTCTTAGGGAAAACCTTTGAGTACTAGGTCTTGAGGTGCTTGCCTGGTGAAGAAAGAACGACAAAAGAAGGAGCTGGTTCATGACTCCTCCTAAGTCGAGATTGAGGAGGAAGCTGTAAAGCAGGTGCGTGTTCACCTTTAGGGATAGCTGTCCGGGTGACTTGAGGGTCAGCCTAGGCTCGGTCAACTGGTTTAACCTTTGGAAGTTGAGACCTGTGAGCTTGTGTCTATGAGGGATCGAGCGGGAGCCTATCTCTCACAGGATGAAGCTGTGTGTGCTGATTGGGAGGACAGAGTAGTCGACCCTTGCATGCTCGAGCTGGTGCAGAGTTGGCGTTGCCCCGAGCTGTGGGACGCAAATGTATGGCGCATGCGGGGTTTGGCGATCGAGAAGGCCTTGCCCTAGACATGAGCTCAAGGCAGCATAAAAGTTGCCCCGAGGTGTGGCTCAAGTGGTTGGACCACGAGCCTTGAGTTGTGTGCGAGAGGTAGAGGTCGTAGGATCTTTGCCTTGGTGCATCGAGCCTCTAAGTATAGAGGTTCCGAGAGTATGGGGGGTTGCCTTACAGCGAACCTCCGGAGCGATGGAAACCTGCTTGCCTCTCGCGAAAGCGGTTAGGGCAGCCTTCCGGTATACCCCAGCAATATGACCGGCAAGGGACTTACCAATAGCAGGGTGCGTGCGGTGTGCAGTAGCAAATGTGCTACCAATGCAAGAGGCCTTGGTGAAAGGGTCCACCAAGACGAGGAAGCGGGGAGTCTGGGGACCTTCAAGTCCCTTCTCACACCAATCTAGGAAAGAACCTAGGAGCCAGACTGAGAGTCTTGACTCAAGAGGAGTGTAGGGAAGGAAGCTTGAGCAGATCGCTTCCCTGGGATAGTCACAGTGCAGGGATGAGAAAATCCCAACTCGGATGAAAGGGTTGAGTAACCCAGATGCCATATAATGTAATGCAGAAAGTAAAGGGGATACTGAGCAAACAAGAGAAAACTTACAAAGGGATAATAAGTCATCAGTGGAGTCGTCAAGATGGTTAGGTGCCTCGATCTCTCCTTTCCTGATCTAGGTGATCGGGTGACACGTGTCTCGGGTTCGAAAGACTCGAGGCCTGAGATCGCTCTCGCGGGAACCTTGTTCAAGAACAAGGGCAGGTATTCAACTAGTGCGAGAGGAATTTTGAATGCGAGGTGAGGACGAACCTCACCTGGGTCTGTAGCTTACTCAGGCTGACTCGCGCTGGTGCCCTCTTAGTTCACGATAGAAAGCCCCTCAGCTGCTTCAGCTGGTTCAGAATCGCCTCCCTTGACCTGCAATCTCCTTATTTTCTATACAATACTATTATGGTTAATTTGCAAGACAAGTGGGCCGAAGGAGCCACCCTTATCTTGGGGCAATGCACATTCGTGTGGCTAAGAATGTGAGAAGTTACAGTGATAAAGTGGAGGGTTCGAACAAAGGTCAAAAAGAGAAGAGAACCTGATGAAGGGGTAAGACTAGTATGATAGCCAAACAGTAACCGATTCGAAGTGGTAGCAAGACAGGCATGGTACTTGAGACCAGCATGACGGCAAGACTACTCGAAACCGAGGCTGATATGACTGTCCTAATCTGGTGTGGCAGCAAGATGGGCATGATACTTAGGACTAGCACGACGGTAATATTGCTCGATAGCCAGATCGTTATGGTAGTGCTAAACTGAGTCAACCCTCAATCAAGTGAGAAGAGGAGAGGATGAAGAGCAGGCGCGGGCCTGTGAAGAAATGGGGTCTCGGTGGCACTATGCGTCACCACCCACAACCATGGAGTAGCAGTGTTATGGCCCTTAGATGGTGGTAGACACTACTCCTCGCGGTCAGAGGATGAGCAGTAAACTACGAGTGGCACTAGGCATCATCCTTTGAAACATAAGAAGGTAGCACACCCTTGCATGTGCGACAATAGCCTCTTGTGAAGCCCGGGGTGATAGCCATGTATGAAGTGCACAACGATAGTTCTTTACAAGGAATATGACGATAGGTGTGGGAAGTAAGAGGAACCTACGGACGACGATAATTACAGAGTGCACAAAGGAGGCTTGCAGACGGTTATAGGTACCGAATGCACGAAGGAAGCTTGCAGACGGCAATAGACACCAAGCGCGGGAAGGAAGCTCGCGGACCGCGACAGGTGTTGTCACGACCTCTTGCGGGGGGTGATAAGCACGCAACAGGGGAGAGACCCCTACGGGTAGTAATAAGTTACACCATATGTGCTCTTCACTGAGATGTCGAGGACACATCTGTGGATGGCGATGAGCAGTGTCGTCTGCAAGTCTCGTTGAGAGATAGAGATGAACGAACATAAGGGGAAAAAAGCTCACGCATGGTGCTGCCATCGCCCTGCGTGACCTGTGAAACCACATAAGGGAGAAAAAGGAAAGAAAGAGGCATGCACAACACTGCCACTACCATGCATGGTCCTTGAGGGAGGCTCAGATGATGAAGAAGAAGAAGAACGAAAAGAAGAGAGAGAAGAAGAAAGGGAAAAAGAAAAGAAAAGAAAAGAAGAGAGAGAAAGATTTACCTTGAGCTTAGGGGTACCGATTCAAAAGTTTCTCTCTTCTTCCACTCTCTCTCAAAACGTGACCCAACAATGAGAGAAAGAGAAATTTGATTAAGCAAAACTCTCTTTGGTGAAGGGTTCAAGCCTCTTTTACGTACAATGATAGTACGTGGTATATATAGAATTGTGCCCAAACATGGGCGGATTGATCAAAATGAATCCTAATATCTAGATATTAAGATTTAATTGAACTAAAATAAATTATAAAATAGGGTGATGACAGATTTGCCCCTTCCTAACAATTTGTGAAATTCCAAAATAGTCCATATGCCGCCCTAGAACGTGCATGATCTTTCATGGATGATTAGGGGTTGTTTTGATGCCTAGTTGATCGAAAGATGATTGTTTTCTTGTAGGGCTCAGCATGGTGATCGATTTGGTACCAACTTCGAGCAATGGATGGTGTTTTTAGGGCACGATCATGTAACTTGAAATTTGGATGAACCTTGAAACTTCGGATTGATAGTGTGCTCGTTCCTTGATGTTTTTTCATGATTTCTTTGCTGGATCACAGTAAGCATGCCGTCATGATCGTGTGGCAACAAACGCAGCTTGATTTCGTGTCAGGACTAGGAGTTTGTAACTTTGGAGTTTTGGTCGGAATTTGGAATTCTAACGACGAAATTTGTAGTTAGTTCATCAGCGTTGTGTGCAGAATCTGACCGTTCATCATGTCCGGGGTTCGGACTAGTGATAGCCTATACCTTATGCATGCGATGAAATTGGTTTCACGTTGATCGAGTTCGCATGCACCGTGATTTGGTCACTCGTGCGAGGTGCGACGTTGTTGATTTTCCTGCAACTTTCTACACAGATCGGCAGCTTCTCTCTAGCTTTTCTTCGTGCTCGAGCGCCATCACGGGGCGTGCCACATAACTAAATGCTCGTCTTGACGAGACAAACACGCTTACCAAATTTGGGCACGATCCGACTCGAGATGGGTGAGATATGAGCATCGAAAGTATCTATTTTGTGACTGCCCCTTTAATGGAGGGTAGTTGCAGGGTGGCTGCACGGGAATAACCGGCTATTTTACTCTTTCTCTTATAACTTCTTCCTGGGGTGTCCGTTCAAATCTGAAATTTGACCCTTGGGGGTTTTTAACCGTGCCAGATCCAATGGCGGTGGTCCCACAATAATTTGAACCACCAAAAATATAGTTCTAGTTATAGGATCCATTTCTAGGTTCTAAAGGCTAATTATGTCGAAACTGTTTCTCTGTTTTTCCATTTTGACAACATGAAAGGAGCAACATGTTGTCCTTCAATTTTCACAAATAATGCGGCCTTGTCCCATTTAATGAAGTACTTTGTAGCCGTTAAAATAAAACGTGGCCGTTTGAGGCTTTTGGTGAGATCATTCTGATGATATCAATACCCCACATGGTCAAGGGCCATCTAGGCGGTGTTGAATTGAGTGGTACAGATGGTGCATGGATGAGGTCTCCATAAAGTTGACATTTAGGACACCTCTTAACGAACTTCCAATAATCTTCGACCATGGGTGTCCAGTAATAGCCTTGGTGCTTGATTTTTTGAGCTAAGGCAGTTGCCCCAGAATGACCTCCTTCATTGTGTAACTCTATCTGTACTTGGTTGATTTTTGGTTGATCGAGAAACCGTAGAATGATGCTATCAAAGGACTTCTTGAACAAGAGATCGCCTCTTATTAAGAATCCCATAGAAAACCTTTGAAGGGCTTCTTTATCCTTTTT